ACTAGTGCGAACAGGGGGAACAGGCAACTCAGGACGAGACTTTGGCGACGCAGGACGAGACTCAGGCTCACGACGCTCCGTAAGACCTCTAGTCAGTCCAGAGTAAGGAGAAGGACCAGGCAGTGGAGAGGCTGGCTGTAACTGCGACGGTGACTGGACAGGTGGTGGACTCAGTAAAGGAGGAGTAGGACCAGTAGAAGGCGGGAGACCAAGAACCTGCTGAAGGAGCGGTACGTAGTACGGCCGCGGCCGCGCAACGCCTCCAGAAACAGCAGAGACAGCACCAGTACCCTCAGCTCCAGGGTCCCCAACTACAACTCCCACAGCACCACCAGCTCCAGTACCGCCAACAGCTCCAGCACCTACAGCTCCAACTCCTGCAGCACCACCAGCCCTAGCAGCTCCAGTACCTCCAGTACGAGCACCTCCGGGACCAGCTGCTCCAGCACCTCCAGTACCTCCAACACCATCAGGACCTCCAACAGTGCCACTACCTCCAGCACCAGCACCTCCAGGACCAGCGGCTCCAGCAGCTCCAGCACCAGCAGCACCTCCAGCAGCAGGCCCAGTAGCTCCAGCAGCACAGCGACAGCGCCGAGTGTACCACTCACGAAGCTGCTGCGGAGAGAGGGGCTCCCGCAGTGACGAGACACCCGGAGGACCTCCAGACTCAGCACGCTCAGGCTCAGCACCCCCAGGCTCAGCACCCCCAGACTCAGCACCCCCAGGCTCAGCACCCCCAGGCTCCACACACTCAGGCTCAGCACCCCCAGGCTCAGCACCCCCAAGGTCAGCACCCCCAGACTCAGCACCCCCAGGCTCAGCACCCCCAGGCTCCACACGCTCAAGCTCAGCACCCCCAGGCTCCGCACCCTCAGACTCAGCAACCCCAGGCTCAGCACCCCCAGGCCCCGCACCCGCAGGCTCAGCACCCCTAGCAGTACCAGAGTCGACAACTACCTCGACAGGCTCAACAGGGTCTACCGGGGACACACCTGAGGGGGCAGGACCCTGAGGGGGGAGGGGGTCTACCGGAGGAGCACCTGGGGCTAGGAAGAGTGGCGGGGGGGGGAGAGGGGCAGTGCGGTAGGGAAAGAGACGGTAGTAAGATACCGACTCGTCAAACGTGACGTCCTGAGAGGACAGAACACGACGCGAGGTGGGGTGGTTAAACTGTCACCCAGGTGCGTCAGGGGGGACGCCAAGGAAGACGCAGGGAACGGCACGGGAGGACAGCTTGTCCGCGGAAGCATCGCGGACAAAAGCTCGAGATCCTCAGACACGGAACACAGACGCATCGCCAACCTTCCCCGTCCACCGCAGAGTAGGTGTGGTCTCCGGTAAGAAGACACGAGGCTGAAGGTTGATCTGATGCACAGCGTACTGAACCGCGAACGGCCACAGAAAATGGGGAGCAGCCGCATGGATCATGGACGTACGAGCGACATCCATGACCATGCAAATGCGGCGCTCAGCAATCCCATTTTGCTGTGGGGAGGCCGGAAGCGTGAACGTCTGGCGGATGCCCTCCGCACGACAGAAGGCCCTCAGAAGGTCGGAGGAAAACTCACCACCTCTGTCTAAGTGCAGACGCAGAACAGGAAGGTCCGAGCCGAAACTCTCGCTGAGTTGGCGGCGGGCACCGCGGATCCAGACGATCAACACCTAAGTGACCTCACCCTTGCGGCGCAAGGGGAAGACTGTGGTGTGACGCGAGTAGTCGTTAACGACCAGCAGGAAGTAACGCTCGTGACCCTGACCACGGACGCGGGCTGGGCCCCACACGTCCATGTGAAGAGTCTGCAGGGGAGCCTCTGTCGGAGGGAACTCGGAGGAGTGAGGAGCGGCGCGCTGCCTGCCCTCGACACAAGGAACACAGGTAGGGGAAAACCCTGGAGGAAGGGGAGGGAGGGACCGGGGGAGACCAGAGACAAGGGTACGGGAGGCCATACCTCTAAGACGAGGCAGGGAGGGGTGACCAAGGCGGTGGTGCCAAAGGAGAGTCTCGTGTGACAGAGGACGACACGAGCAGGGGGGCGACGCTGGACTAGACCTGGACGCGGCAGAAAACACCTGACCAGATGCGGCTACCTGACCAGACGCAGTAACCGGAGGAGACGCAGTAGTCAGTGTGTACAGACTCGACCCAGGCCGACGGGTGAACGTGGCCAGGTGGCGGCCCGTCCGAGAGCAAGTGCAGTGGGTCACACCCTGACCTCCAAGGGTGAACTGGTCAACCCACGCGTCCTGGAGGTCAGCTCCACTCACCAAGTTCGTAGAGAACGAGGGGAGGTGGAGTCTCGACAGCAAGCCCGACGGGGCCGCGGGACACGGTAGAACCGTGGAGGAGTGCGCAAGGACTGGGGCCCCAGAGGGGTCAGCCAGAGAGACTGCGACAGGCCGACTGAGCGGCGTGAGTGTGGTGCTGTCGCGAAAGAAGGAGCGCGAAGCACCAGAGTCAAGTGTGAAAGTGTGCAAGGCCTCAGTAGGTGCAGTACCAGAGAGAGCAGACTCACCAGCACCTGGAGCAGCAGACTCACTAGTACCTGGAGCAACAGACTCACTAGCACCTAGAGCAGCAGCCTCAATGCCCGGGTCAGGCGGAACACACAGGTAACAATCACCCTCAGCACTATCAGTCGCAGCATACATGGCAGCAAGGATAGCATCAAAATCAAGATCAAAGATAGCAACATTCTCCTTATGCAGATCACCCCAGCGAGGGAGCTCAACAGCGTCAGGAAACTGGGCTCGCCAGGCGTCAGTCAGGCGACCAAAGCAGCGCTGCGTAGTGTGTGGCAGCCCGCACGTCTCCCCACGGCGCCCGCCGGTGTGAAGAACGTAAGTGCAGGGACCAACACCCCCAGACCTCTCACGCCCAGCGTACCACTCACGAAGCTGCTGGGCCGACGGGGTCTCACGGGAACGCGGCTGCTGCTGGCGCTGGCCACCACCAAAGCCTCCACGCTGCGCGGCTCCACCTCGACCAGCACCACCGCCGCCGCCACCTCCACCACCGCTGCTGCTGCCTCCACCGCCGCTGCCGCTGCCTCCACCACCCCCACTGCCGCCACTGAAGCCCCCACTCCCGCCACCACCCCCACCTCCACCGCCACCCCCTCCGCCTCCTCCACCGCCTCCACCGCCGCCCCCACCGTCCCCTCCACCTCCCTTGCCCCCCTTGCCCTTGCTGTTGCGGCGCCTCCCACTAGGAGCAGACGCAGCCCCGACCTCCGCAGTGCGAACGAGGTCGACAGCAGCAGCAGAAGCAACAGAGGGGAGAAGGGGGACAGGGGAACACCCCTCAAAGAAAGTGGCGCGAGGGTCGCCGCAAGAAGCACCTACAGCTAAGATACTCTTCTCAGCTGCAGTGAGGCGCTCCTCTAGCAGGTCGACAGTGAGCTCGGTGGGGCAAAGGGAGAGAAAGTGGTCCCTGACTGAAGCAAGGGAGTCAGGGAGGCGGGTGACTAGGTAGTAAAGGGTGATGTACATAGGGGGGGGGGCGGTTCTTGGCACAGAACACAGTGGGAAGCGCAGCTCGGTAGCGGGCGTCACTAGTGCGGAGGTGAGTAATGAGGTCAGCGACTGTGGCAAAAGCGGCAAGGTCAGGGAACAGGTACAGCAGCATGAGGCGGCTGAGGGCAGCAGTGGCAGGGCCGCGACAGGGCGGCTGCAGGGCAGGGCCGCGACGGGCGGCGAAGGCAGGGCCGCGACAGGGGCGGCAGCAGGGCAGGGCCGCGACAGGGCGGCAAAGGCAGGGCCGCGACAGGCGGCTACGGGCCGGCGACGGGTGGCAACGGGCCGGGACGGGCCGGCGACGGGTGGCAACGGGCCGGGACGGGCCGGCGACGGGTGGCAACGGGCCGGGACGGGCCGGGACGGGCCAGCGACGGGCGGCGAAAGGTAGGGCCACGACAGGGCGGCTGCAGGGCAGGGCCGCAGTGGGCGGCGAAGGCAGGGCCGCGACAAGCGGCGACGTGCCAGCGACGGGCGGCGACGGGCCGGGACGGGCCGGGAAGGGCCAGCGACGGGCGGCAAAGGCAGGGCCGCGACGGGCCAGCGAAGGCAGGGCCGCAACGGGCCGTACTAGGGCAGGGCGCGCGACGGCGCAGGTGAGGCAGGCGCGAGGCGCGCTTCGGGCAGGGCAGGGAAAAAAAAATCGTGGTGGGCCCTAAAAAAAACGTTCCCACTAGGGAATCTGCTCTGAATACCATGTCAGAATAGTGAAGGAATGAATGACTGAACTAGCAAGCAGGTGGGTAGAAGTAGGAAACCTAAAAGTGTTGTACTCTATATGAACTACCCCACTACAGCCTAAACAGACTATAGCATATAAGTTTGACAAAACGGAAGCAAAGCAGGAAGGACGGAAACAAGAATTTCCGCGAAGGCGTGTCAATTGACGCAGTTTCTGCGACAGTTTCATAGCCTGGTGCAAGCCTCAGGACAATTACGGGCTTACAGTCAAGTTGTGACCAAGACGACTAAGGGATGAAACGTTCTCGACACGGCGATATTTCACAATTCCCTTTGTCCTGAATGCTGACCACTGGTGTCAGAATCGCCTCGAATTAAACAGCACCGTTTTGTTTTAATCTCGGTTGGCTGTATAAGTTCAGTTTACATTTACTACAAATGGAAGTGAACCAGAAAGAAATGTCACACAACAGGCTTCTTACTTTTCAAAGCCTTCATTAAACACTCCATGAGCTATAACATTCCCTAAAATCTCAACCCACGTATCAACAGGGCCTGGTGTACAGTAATGCAAACAATCCGTTATCCCCCTCTCCTTCACATACCCCTTATGACCGTCTGGTCTTAGCGCCGTCATTGTATCGACATCCATGTACACTGCTTTCACCTCCTCCGCTATCTCCCTCGCAATATCATTTTGCGATGAAAACGTATCCCAGTGAAAAGGCAACGTAGCTGGATCCTGCCGAATTTTGATTGGCCGGTCGTATGATGAGCAGTTGACGTGGCCGGGCGGCGAATTCCTACAGACGATCAGCGCACGAGGAAGCTTCCTGCGAAGCAGCCTCATGGCACCCTGCACCGAAATCCCTCCCGCCGACATAATGAGCGCCACGATTAATTATCACCACATCAGCGCTCATCAACCCGTCGTACAAGTGCCATGGCATGTGATCAAATGGCACGCTGCCACTTGTCGCACTCCCGATGCTGCTGCTGGTGGTGCTGCTGCCGTCAGCGGGGCTGGTTAAATCAGGGTCCTGAATATAAAGGTGGTCGTTGCGAATCACATGTATTTTTACCCCCGGACACACATTCTCGTGAAACACGTAGACCTTGCAGAACGGATGTGGTGTCACCACCACTGGAGCGATACCCCCATCCTCGTCATCCTCCTCCTCTTCCTCCTCTCCTTCCTCTTCTCCCACAGTACCAACTCCTGTAGCAGCACTAGTATTACCGTCCCTACTTCTTAAATTCCTCCAGCGAGCAGCACGGCGCAACTTCTTGGAACCATCCTCACTCACTCCTGCTCCTGCTCCAGCTCCTCCCCCTCCTCCTCCTCTCCCAAGCAGCCAATCAACGCACTGCTTGGGTTCGGATTCGTCCACAGCCCAGGACGCAGGCTTGGCAACGTGCCGAAGCAGCCCGTTCAAGAAGCTCCCAGCCATCTGGAAGGTCAGCGAGTCGCCGAGAAACACGATGGTGAACGTCCCTCTCTCCTCCCTTGCCCGCTTGCAAAACGCCGCTCCGTCAAACGGCTTCAAACCGCCCAATGGGCACTTGCCAGGTGGCGTTCTCCACTCGTACTTGAGCGATTCTCTTACTGTCCACTCCTCCTCGCTCCCGCCCCTCCTTACAACCTCATCCGCTTTTATCCCAGACACCCCCACTCCTTCATCCGCTTGCCTGTGATCGCATAAGTTCATGAACCCGGGATATTCCCAGGGTAAAACCCTCGGGGTCGGGTTATACACCCAATTTCCCTCGCGGCTGATGCACTCTAGCCACCGCTCAAACACCCTGACGTCGCGTCGGCGCCGCAGCCAGCTTCCAGGAACCTTCCAGGCCTCGGCTTCCCGTCTCCGCAATTTCTTGTCCAGCCTCTCCCGTTTCTTCCGTTCTGCTTCACTCACTCGCTCCTCTGCTGTTGCCGCTCCTCTGCTTCCCAGCCTAAGGCAATCCAAGGCCAGGTGAAGACACGCCTCAGATACAGCCTCCCCCAGGTCCTCCCTGCTCCAGGTAATCCGGATCCCTCTCACATCCTCCTCTTGCTCACGCCTTCTTTCAACTTCCTCTCCTCTCTCCACCTCCTCTTCTTCACGCTTCCCTGCTCCCTGCTTAGCCTTGCTCTCTCCTTCCCCTTCTTCCGCGGCTTCCTCACCCCAATCAGCATCATCATTATTACGCTCATCACCATTTTCCCTCCTCTCATCTGCATCTGTAACAGTAGCATCCATCTCCAAACCTCCACCCTCCGCACCTACTGCCGAACCTCCTCCTTGGGAATCTCCTATATCCATTTTCCCATCCTCCCGAACCTCAGGCTCGGTGACGAGCCACAGCTTCGGCAGAGGCTTGAAATTCAGCCGCTCGGACGGTACAGAGACGACGTGCAGATGACACGTGGCACTCATGGATTGGATGATGGAAGATGACGAAAGGAACGGGTCCGGCGAGGGGTTGGAGAGAAGGGGCTGGGAGGGTAAGGAATCATCCTTTGAGTGAGTGAGGGAGGAGGAGGAGGAGGAGGAGGATGAGGGGAGAGAGTGAGGGAGTGAGAGGCCAGTGGGGGGTTGGAGGAGGAGGAGGGAGGAGTTGAGGCGAGAGTATATGAGGAGGGGGAGGAGAGAGGGTAGGGGGAGGGAGACGAGGAGGGAGGTGCAGGGGAGGAGTGTGCGTGCTGATGGGGGAGGGTAATGGGTGGGGGGAAGGGAGGGGAGAGGAAAGGAGAGGGTTAGGGATGAGACAGTGAGAGGTGGGCATCAGGAACTCCTCGTTTACTCAATATCCATCCCCTATCCCCTAGTACCGCACAGCACCACACTTATCTTATTATCCCCCATCACCCCCCAGCACCCTCCAGCATCTCCAATCACCCCTCATCACCCCTCAGTACCTTGTTTCCATCCGAGCCTCTGCACCACAGTGACGTTGCTCTCCCCAAACTGCTGCCTCAGCAGCCCCACGAGCCAATCAAATTCCGCCATCTGGACGCCACGTGGCATCGTCACCACCACGACCTTCCCCTGCTCCCTCACACCGTTCACACTCCCCTCTCCCCCTTCCTCTCCCTCTCCCTCTCTGTCATCCCTATTCCTCCCCCCGCTCTCCTCTCCAATACCACTACTGTCATCCTCCCTTTCACTACTGTCCAGGTGGCTGCTTTTTTCCTGGTCTGTGCCACCCGCTGCCGGCCGCAGAGACCAATCAGGTTGCAGCAGGGGTAGGTGGTTAGAGGAGGGGTGGAGGAGGAAGGAGGAGCGGAGGTGGATCCACACCGAGGGGCTCAGACGGCCGCAGTGCTGCTGGGTGGGCTGGGAAGATTGAAAAGGGGGGGAAGAAGGAGAACGAGGGAAGGGCATGAGAGGAGGAGAGGAGGAATGTGGTGAATGCAGATGGCGAAGGGTCCACACTGAGGGGCTCAGAGGCTTGCAGTGCTGCTGCTGGGAGGGCTGGGAAAGTAGAGGAGAAGAGAAGGGCAGTGGAGGAGAAGAGAAGGGCAGTGGAGGAGAAGAAAAGGGCAGTGGAGGAGAAGAGAAGGGCAGTGGAGGAGAAGAGAAGGGCAGTGGAGGAAATGAAGGAGGAAGGAGGGGCTCGGACAGCCGCAGTGCTGCTGGGAGGGCTGGGGAAGGGGGAGGAAAGGGAGTTAGAGAGGATAGAAGGATGCAAAGACATGTGACCAGTATGCAAAGACATGTGACCAGTATGCAAGACATGTGACCAGTATGCAAAGACATGTGACCAGTATGCAAAGACATGTGACCAGTATGCAAGACATGTGACCAGTATGCAAAGACATGTGACCAGTATGCAAAGACATGTGACCAGTATGCAAAGACATGTGACCAGTATGCAAGACATGACAGTATGCAATGTGACCAGTATGCAAAGACATGTGACCAGTATGCAAAGACATGTGACCAGTATGCAAAGACATGTGACCAGTATGCAAGACATGTGACCAGTATGCAAAGACATGTGACCAGTATGCAAGACATGTGACCAGTATGCAAAGACATGTGACCAGTATGCAAAGACATGTGACCAGTATGCAAAGACATGTGACCAGTATGCAAGACATGTGACCAGTATGCAAAGACATGTGACCAGTATGCAAGACATGTGACCAGTATGCAAAGACATGTGACCAGTATGCAAAGACATGTGACCAGTATGCAAAGACATGTGACCAGTATGCAAAGACATGTGACCAGTATGCAAGACATGTGACCAGTATGCAAAGACATGTGACCAGTATGCAAGACATGTGACCAGTATGCAAAGACATGTGACCAGTATGCAAAGACATGTGACCAGTATGCAAAGACATGTGACCAGTATGCAAAGACATGTGACCAGTATGCAAAGACATGTGACCGGTATGCAAAGAGAACGCAGCAGCGGAGCTTGGTCAGGGCTCAGGTGGCTGCAGTGCTGCTGGGGGGGCTGGGGAAGGGGGAGGAAAGGAAGAGAACGAGGGGATGAAGCAGGGTTTGAATGTGTGGTGGAAGGCGGATGGAGGATGGAGGATGGAGGATGGAGGAACACATGATGCAGGGCGGTCCTGCAATGCTGCTGGGCTGGTTGAGCTGGCGGGAGGGGAAGGAGGGGGAAGAGAGAGGTTGTGGAGGTTGGTGGTGGGGTGGAAGAGGAGGAAAATGGACATGAGAATCACATGGTGGGAGGAGGGAGGAGCGGAGGTGGGCCCACACTGAGGAGCTCCGTGGCCCGCAGTGTTGCTGGGTGGGCTGGGGGAGGGGGTTCGAAAGGGAGGCAGGGAGGAGAACGGAGGGTGAGACATGCGATGAGGATGCGAGGAGGAAGGAGGAGCGGATGTGGGTCCACACGGCGGGACTCAGATGCCCGCACTGCTGCTGGTGGGCTTAGTGGCGGTGGTAAAGGGTTTTCAGGAGAGTAGGGAAGGTGAGCAAGGGGAGAAGGGGAGAAGGGGAGAAGGGGAGAAGTGGAGAAGGGGAGAAGGGGAGGATGGGAGAAGGGGAGAAGGGGAGAAGTGGAGAAGGGGAGAAGGGGAGAAGGGGAGAAGGGGAGAAGGGGAGAAGTGGAGAAGGGGAGAAGGGGAGAAGGGGAGAAGGGGAGAAGGGGAGAAGGGTGTGAGAAAACGTGAGGAAGAACCATTGGTTTCATTAGGAGAGATTGGGGTATACATAGTAGTGCTAAAGGGGGGGGGGGGGTTGGTTGGAACCAAGCCAACATTATTGGCCCCCACCAATAAGTTGGGTTGAGGGATTATTGGGGGGACCAATAATGTTGACCAAGTGGTTCAACATTATTGGGGGGACCAATAATTCTCAACCCAACCTTGGGGGCCAAGGTTTGAGTTCCAACCCCCAACTAGGGTTAGCCCTAGTTCTACACCCAAACTAAGTTTGGGTGGCTATCTCTATCCTACGCTTATAGGATTGATGTAGGTTACAATGAGGATGGCAATCTGACACAACCCCTTAACCTACAGAAATGCATAAGCGTGGGAAGAGAGAACAACAACCCCTGAATCAGCCACCGCGGGGAGCAAGTCTCTGGAGACGCAGAAGTGCAGAGTGGTCAGACCGGTGGAGAGCCTTGGTGAAGAGATCGGCGAGGTTGTCGGAGGAGGCGATTTTGCGAACGGTGATGTGACCATCTTGGACAAGGTCGCGAACGAAGTAGTAGCGAAGCTCGATGTGTTTGGAGCGACCATGAAAGACGGCTTCCTTGGTGAGGTGAATGGTACTGTCGTTGTCACACCACAGGGTGGGGCAGGGCTGTGGGGAGCCAAGGTCGGTGAGCAGATAGCTGAGCCAACGTGCCTCTTGAGCCGCCATCGTGACCGCGTATAGTTCGGCTTCACAGGATGAGAGGGCGACGCAGGAGGAGCGGGTGGAGCACCAGCTGATGAGACCGCTCCCGAGTGTGAAGCCATATCCTTGGGAGCTGCGTCGGTCGGGTTGTGCATCGGCCCAGGATGAGTCGCTGAAGCCGTGAAGAATGGGTGGGTTCACACCACCAAGGGTGAGGACATGGTCCTTCGTGCCTTGAAGATAGCGAAGAACACGCATGGCCGCCTTCCAATGCTCGTCACCATTCCTGCCGGTGCCAACGAACTGCGCCAGAACACTGACTGGGTATGCAAGGTCGGGACGAGTGCAGACCATGGCGTACATCAGGGCCCCAACAAGTTCTGCATAGGGATGAGGGGAGGTGACGGGAGTGGTGGGAGGGGAGAGCCGATGCCCAAATGCAAGTGGTGTGGAGATGGGTTTTGATCTGGACATGCCAAACCTCTCAAGAATCTTCTCGATGTAAAAAGACTGAGAGAGGGTGATGGTCTTGGCAGTGAGGTCGCGGGTGATCTCCATGCCGAGGTAGTTGCGGACCTCCCCCAGGTCTTTGCAGGCGAGGCGTTTCTGCAGCTCATCTTTGACCTCCTGGAGTTCAGCAATTGTGTCAGCGGCCATGGAGTGAAGGAGCATCCCGCGTCTGCCAACAAAGTCCAAGAACACGCGAATGACCGGCGGGGTGGCGGTGGGTGAGTAGGTCTCGAAGAAGTCTGAGCCATAGGTCTGTGTAAAGCCTTTTGCCACATATCGAGCCTTGTAGACCGGAGCGTTGCCAGGGAGCAGTTTCACTCGGAAGAGCCACCTGCCTTTGACCACGTTGTGCTTAGAGGGACGAGGAACGTCGAGAAAGGAGCGATTGCTGATGAAGGCGTTGCTCTCCTTGACCATGGCCTCGATCCAGAGAGGTGCGTCAAGACAAGCAAGTGCTTGCTCATAGGTGGTGGGTTCGTAGATGGTGGGGGTGGTGGAGAAGAGAAGGACAGTAGTGCCAGCCATGGTGCGGACGACGGGGGCGATGGTGGGCGAGAGGAGATGGAGGAAGAGAAGCTCATTGTGAGAGTCTTCAGAGAGCACTGGTGCTCGGCTACGCTGAGGGTCGGGGCGGGGAGACAGCTGCATTGCAGCACGGCTTCGCTGAGTTGCCGTGAGGGGCAAGGAGACGGGAGCGCGACTGCTAAGAGAACCTGAGGGGCTGGTGCGGGGGAGAGGGGAGGTGCTATGGTGGTGGAGAAGGGGGATAGATGTGAGAGAGTGGAGGGAGGGGGGTGTGGACCTTGGGGTACCAAGAATGGGGACCGTGGAGCGGGTGTGAGGGTAGTGGCGGAGTATGAGAGGGGGAGTGGAAAGTAGGGGACGGGAGTATTGTGGTGGAGTGAGTGGGGGAGGGCGTGGGGAGGGGGGAGGTGGGGGATGTTGTGCATGGAGGGAGGGAGGGGAAGGAGGGGGAGGGGGTGGGGAGGGATGGGGAGGGGCAGCGGGTGGGGAGGGAGGGGGAGGGGCAGCGGGTGGGGAGGGAGGGGGAGGGGCAGCGGGTGGGGAGGGAGGGTGGACGGGGTCAAGGATGTCTCCTGATGAGGTGGGGGGAGAGGGGGGAGGGGGTGGGGGTGCAGGGGGGACAATGGTGGGGGGGGGGAGAAGGGAAGGGGAGGGGAGAGGGGTTGGGGGGGGAATGGTGTCAGTCCAGAGGAGGGGACGGGTGGTTAGAGGGAGGGGGTTAGGGACTTTGGGGGAGGTGTAGTACGGGTGAGCTTCATCGAACTCTACATCCCGACTACGAATGAGGCGACCTGAGGGGGGATGGAGGAAGAGATAGTCCGGGGAGGAGGTGTTGTGACCAAGGAAAATGCAGGGGAGAGTGCGGGAGGCTAGCTTCCCAGCTTTGCGTGAGCGGTCGACAGGGTGTATGAGAACATACGCCAGGGACCCCCACACGCGCAGGGGGGTGATGTCGGGCTTTTTGGACGTCCAGAGTGCAGTGGGAGTGGTGGTGGGCCGGGAGGGATGAGGGTACAGGTTAGTGAGGATGGCAACGTGAAGGATGGCATAGCCCCAGAGAGAGGGCGGGCAGGAGGCATGGACCATGAGGCACCGAGCAGTCTTGGTGACCTCACGGACCCTGCTTTCCGCCATGCCATTCTGCTGAGGGGAATGAGGTAGGGTGTAGGTGTGAATAATGCCATGAGTGGTGCAGTAGGATGAGAGCATGTTATTAAGGAACTCACCACCGCCATCCGAGTGGAAGCGGGAGACAGGGCGTTTGAAATGGGTGCGTGCTTGGTCAGCCCAGGCAATAATAGCAGCCGGGGCCTCCGCCTTCGTGCGAAGGAGGGAGACTGAGGAGTACCGGCTGTGGTCATCCACCAGGATGAGCAGGTATTTATGACCTTGCCTGGTGGGGGAAGGATTGGGGCCCCAGAGGTCCATGTGGATGAGATCAAGGGGCTGGGGAGAAAAACAGGGATGACTCTTGTGGGGGCCTGCTTTAGTTTGCTTTCAACGCATACTGAGCAGGGAGGGGAGGGTGATGGGGGGAGAGGGGGGAGGGTGAGGGGGAGGCCGTCGAGGAGTTGAGTGGAGACAGTTTGACGGAGAGTGGCAAAGTTGGGATGACCCAACCTATGGTGAAGGAGAACTGCGGGGTGGGTGACGTCACGACAGTGACAGGAGGAGGGGGGTGGGGGGGGGGGGGGGGAGGGGAGGGGAGAGGGGGGGAGGGGATGGGAGGAGGGGAGGGAGGGGGGAGGGGAGGTGAGGGGAGGGGAGGGGAGGGAAGGGGGAGGGGAGGTGAGGGAGGGGGAGGGGGTGAGGTGGGGGCGATGAGGTGGTGAATGGAGGTGCGAGGGGTGCGGTATGTGTACAGGTTTGTGTGAGGGCAGAGGGGAATGCGACAGATGAAGCGGCCAGTGGTGGTGTGAAAGAGGTCGCAGTGGCGTGCATGACCGGGGAAGAGGGCGGTGATAACGAACCAGGTGAGGTCACATAATGCAACAAGATTGTTGCGTAGGGAGGGGATGTATAGACCTGTGACTGTACCGGAGGGGAAGATGGGACACGGGAGGGTGGAGGTGTGTCGACTTGTGATGGTGAAGCTGGAGTCAGCTCCGTGTATAGTGGAGGGAGTGTGGAGAGGTACCAGTGTGCCTGCATCCCGGAGGACAGTGTGTGTGGCTCCACTGTTAAGGATAAACTCAAGGCAGGAGGAGGAGGAGGAAAGGGCAGAGTACTGGAAGAGAGACTCATTAATAGCATGGGGATACAGAGAATCAGCAGGAGCAGTGCTAACATGTCTTATGAATCCAGCAGAGGGGAAAGGAGTAAAGCCAGGAGGGTTGGAAGAGGAGGAGGGCTGTTCAGCAAGATTAGCAGCAGGTGCAGTAGGTCCATGACCATATCCCGGAGGTGGGTAAGGAGGGTAAGGCCAGCCAGCATAGGGTGGAGGGTAGTGAAGAGGAGAAGCGTGAGGCGGAGGTGTAGGTGGAGGAGGAGTGGGAGTGGGGGTGGATGAGGAGAGGAGATTTTGGACTTGGTGAAGGATGTGAGATGGGAGATGTTGAGTGAGGATATTGTGGAGGTTGGGGGTGGAGGGTTGATAGGCAGGGAGAGTGCGGATGTCATGGGGAGAGGGGCGTGGGAAAACAGTGTTCCAGCGAGGTGGGGTGCCAACATTGCCACGGTCAAACCATTCGTCAGTGAGGGCTTTGAAGCATGTGTCAATGGTGTGAGTGGTCTGTGAGCATGGCTGACCTTTGTTGGAGCCATAGCGAATGATGTACTGACACGGGGGGAGGGTGCTCGAGGATGGGGGGTGTCCGCCACGCCCACCACGGCCACCACCTCGGCCACCACCACGTCCTCCTCCTCGCCCACTGCCACGTCCACCACCACCACTGCCGGTGCCACCTGGGCCGCCACCTCCTCCGTTGCTGTGGTTGCCTGTGGTAGCTTTGCGAGTCTGGACAGCATTGATAGTGGCAGAGTCACGTTGAATGTCTGCTTCGCTGTCAAGTAGCCACTCGATGGTGTCAGCCATAGGAGGAGGATGACGGTAGCGGGAGGTGAACGTGATGCGGTAGGTGTCATATGTGGGAGGGAGGCAGTCGAGGATGCGTGCAGTGAGAAGGGACTCAGAGATGACAATGCCTCGGTCATTGAGGCGTTGTGCAGAGTCAATGAGGCGACGGGTGTAGGCCGCAGCAGTGGGGGAGGAGTCAAGGGTGATGTCTTGGAATTTGCGAAAGAGTGCGAGGAGGGAGCGAAGATCCTGACGATCGTAATGAGTAGATAGAGTTTTCCAGAGTCCAGAGGAGGAGGTGGGAAGAAGGTCGCGTTGGAGGTGAGAGGGGATGCAGGAGAAGATGATGGCGAGTGCGCGACGATCCGCAACACGCCACGCTGCAACATCTTTGTGGAGCTTGCGAAGCTCCTCAGCATAGTCTTTCTCATCTTGAGCGTAGGAGAGGATGCGTGCAGTGGCTGTAGCGTGTGCCTCTTCTGCAACACGGTACGCCTCACGCTGGAGGGTGTAGGTGTCGCGAAGCTTGTTGTAGGCGTTCAGGTTGGCCCCCCAGCGATCCGGGTTGTCATCATGAACTGGGGCACGCGGGGGGTCGGGAAGAGGCTCGGGTGGAGGAGGGGCGTCAGGGGGAGGAGGTTCAAGAGGAGGGGGGGAAACAGGTGGGAGGCCATTAGGGTGCTCGATGACTACATCAAGAAGGCAGTAGTCTTGGATGATGATGGAGCCAAGGTGCGTGTGAAGTGTGTCTTCAAACGACGCCCAATTTATAGCCGTAGTGTCATGGAGACGTTCGAGCTTGTCAATGGCTCCGAGCTCAAGAGGAGTAGAGTCGTCCGCCATGAGGAGGAGGAGGAGGAGAGGGGGAGAAAAGGGGGGGGGGGAGGGGGGGGGGGGGCGACACCACCTGGAGAGGTGGTGCGGTCAAGGAGGGGGGGACGACACCACCTGGAAGGGTGGTGCGGTCACGGTGTGTGCGGCTGCGCTGTCTGCCCTTGTCGCGGCGGTTTAGGCCACGACGAGCGCCCGCGTTCGTCGTGGCGGATGCGCCCGTCCGCGGAGGTCGCCTCCGCTGGTCGCGTCCGCAGCGGTCGCCTCCGCTGGTCGCGTCCGCGGCGGTCGTCTCCGCTGGTGGCGTCCGCGGCGGTTGCCTCCGCTGGTTGCGTCCGCGGTGGTTGCCTCCGCTGGTCGCGTCCGCGGCGGTCGCCTCCGCTGGTCGCGTCCGCGGCGGTCGCCTCCGCTGGTCGCGTCCATGGCGGTCGCCTCCGCTGGTCGCGTCCTCGGCGGTCGCCTCCGCTGGTCGCCTCCGCGGCGGTCGCCTCCGCGGCGGTTGCCTCCGCTGGTCGCGTCCGCGGCGGTCGCCTCCGCTGTCCGCGGCGGTCGCCCGCGTTCGTCGCGTCCGCGGCGGATGCCCGCGTTCGTCGCGTCCGCGGCGGTCGCCCGCGTTCGTCGCATTCGCGGCGGATGCCCGCGTTCGTCGCGTCCGCGGCGGTCGCCCGCGGTCGTCGCGTTCGCGGCGGATGCCCGCGTTCGTCGCGGCCGCGGCGGTCGCCCGCGTTCGTCGCGTTCGCGGCGGATGCCCGCGGTCGTCGCGTCCGCAGCGGTCGCCCGCGTTCGTCGCGTCCGTGTCGGTCGCCCGCGGTCGTCGCGTCCGCGGCTGTCGCCAGCGTTTGTCGCGTTCGCGGCGGTCGCCTGTGGAACCCTAATCCGCGGCGGGTGCCCGCGTTCGTGGCGTTCGCGGCGGTCGCCCGCGTTCGTGGCGTTCGTGGTGGTCGCCCCCTATTAGGGTTTCGTCGGGCGCGGTAGTCGTTCCGACGGTTAGCATGCTCGCGGGAGAGAGGGGAGGGCCGTAAGTGGCGAAATTGACCTTAGGAAGGGGGGGGGGGGAGGTGCTGAAATTTAGCGTGGGGAGGGGGGCCGTGACGGCGTAGGTGCGCACTTGGCGCTAAGAGCGACCTAGTTGTCGCGTGAGGGAGGGGGGCGTGTTAAGGCACGCGGAGGTGTGGTTCTTAGGATCGGAGAAGGTGTGAGCCGTGTTCGCTCTGATTACCATGTGAGAAAACGTGGGGAAGAACCATTGGTTTCATTAGGAGAGATTGGGGTATACATAGTAGTGCTAAAAGGGGGGGGGGGTTGGTTGGAACCAAGCCAACATTATTGGCCCCCACCAATAAGTTGGGTTGAGGGATTATTGGGGGGACCAATAATGTTGACCAAGTGGTTCAACATTATTGGGGGGACCAATAATTCCCAACCCAACCTTGGGGGCCAAGGTTTGAGTTCCAACCCCCAACTAAGGTTAGCCCTAGTTCTACACCCAAACTAAGTTTGGGTGGCTATCTCTATCCTACGCTTATAGGATTGATGTAGGTTACAATGAGGATGGCAATCTGACAAAGGGGGGAAGGGGAGAAGGGGAGAAGGGGAGAAGTGGAGAAGGGGAGAAGGGGAGAAGTGGAGAAGGGGAGAAGGGGAGAAGGGGAGAAGGGGAGAAGGGGAGAAGGGGAGAAGGGGAGAAGGGGAGAACGGGAACATGGGGTCCAGCTTTTGAGGCGCCTCAAAAGTCGTCTTTTGAGGCACCTCAAAAGGGAAGGGGAGGAAGGGGAGAAGGGGAACATGGGGTCCAGTCCAGCTGTGCAGCAGACGAGACTTGGGAGCTTAGAATGGCATGACTCTCCTGAAGAATAACCTGGCACCTTGAGAATCACCTGAGACGCCTCGAGAACACTTAACGTCCCCAAAAGTAGCCTGCCCGAGCCACCTGAAGATTCACCTGAATGAGGCGTCTGACAAAGTAGAGCTCGTCAGCAGCAGGAGGCGCGACAATGGTGGCCTTGAGAGATGCGGCGGCAAGCATGCGGGGAAGCTGCAGGTAGTGCACACACAGACATGCAGAGAAAGGGTGTGTGGTGTGGAGAGTGGAGAGAGGCGGTAAGCAGGCAGGCAGGAAGATGGCGGAAGGGAATACGAATACGGAAGGGAGCAGCACACATGGAACATGATGCTGTGACGATGCGTGCAGGGATTTGAGCCGATTCAAAACAGTATGGGTCTGTGTGTATGGGCGTGCCGGCGAGAGAGCTGAGGGTGCGTGCAAAAAGACGGAAAGGCAAGAGTCGAGGTCGGAGCAAGGTTAAAAAAAACGTTACTTGCCACCTTGGGTCAGAGGGCGGAAGGAGACAGGTAGCAGAAAGCAGACACAAAGGAGGGTTGCGTAACACAGGGGGGGGGAGAGAGTGTGGTGTGATTGAATGAACACAGGGTGGAGTGTGATTGAATGAACACAGGGTGGAGTGTGATTGAATGAACACAGGGTGGAGTGTGATTGAATGAACACAGGGTGGAGTGTGATTGAATGAACACAGGGTGGAGTGTGATTGAATGAACACAGGGTGGAGTGTGATTGAATGAACACAGGGTGGAGTGTGATTGAATGAACACAGGGTGGAGTGTGACTGAATGAACACAGGGTGGAGTGTGATTGAATGAACACAGGGTGGAGTGTGATTGAATGAACACAGGGTGGAGTGTGATTGAATGAACACAGGGTGGAGTGTGATTGAATGAACACAGGGTGGAGTGTGATTGAATGAACACAGGGTGGAGTGTGATTGAATATGATGTATATACTCAATGACCTGTGTGAACAGAGGGTGCGAGTGTGGGTGATGTGAGCAAATTCACTTACTGTACTCGAGTGAGTTCTCTGCGGTTTATTCTGTTGCATCACGGTACAGAACGGTGAAGCTAAAAAACCGCTTTCCACCGCATGAAACCGTCCTGAGCCACGAAGAATGAACTGTAAACGCACGAGCTAGACACCCCTACGTGCCTGCCTCAGCAGTATTTTCGTTCTCTCTCACTGCCTGTTTCTCAGGCGCCTCACAAACAGACACTGCTTACCCACATCTGCCCCAGCAGCAGAAGCGTCTTTCTGACCCAGACCTGTTTCTCGTGGCCTCTTTCTGAGGATCTTAAGAAACGTGTGTTTTTTTAGAATTCTCAAAAAACCTGTTTCTCGCGGCCTCTTTCTGAGGATCTTAAGAAGCGGAGTGCACTTACCCGTGGTTGACCCAGCAGCAGAGGCAAATCCGGATTCTCTCTTAAGAATGGTGCCACTTGCAGCAGCAGCGGTGCCAGCTGTAACACCGTCGCTCCGCTTCTTCCTCTGCTGCCTGCCACGTCAGCAGCTGCCACGTGGCCTCTTGGGACGAGGAGATTGACGAGGGTATCGTGGATGGTTACCCGGGTGCCAAAAGGGTAGAAGAACTACCGTGCTTGGAGGGAGGGAGTGAGGAAGGGGGAAGGCACAGCGGGAAGAAGGGGAACAGGGAAGTTGGGGGGAGGAGGGAGGGGGGGAAGGAAGGGAGAGCAAGAGAAAGAGAGTGAATAGTGGATATTGAGATGATCAAAAGGATGGTTTTTGAGACGTCTCAAATGTCGTCTACTTACATGAAGAGGGATATTGACATGATCAAGAGGATGGTTCATGGTTATCTGAAGCGTCACCTGGTGCGAGCATCACCTGGAGCGGTCACCTGGTGCGAGCATCACCTGGAGCGGTCACCTGGTGCGAGCATCACCTGGAGCGGTCACCTGGTGCGAGCATCACCTGGAGCGGTCACCTGGTGCGGGCGCCACCTGGTGCAGGCATCACCTGTTAAGGAGGGCAAAGGCGTTGAACGCCTAACCCGCTCACCAGCTCAGCATGGGCTGCATTGAACACCTGCTTGCTTCTTTCCTCCCCTCCCCCCGCGCTCACCTATCAGTACATGGTAACCAGAGGCAGAGACCAGAGACCAGAGACAAGAAGAAGGTGAATCCCTCCCTTAGCCTGGTAGTACACAGCACAGCACGGTCCATAATGGCGCCTCACCTGGGTGAGCCTGTGGCAGCCATGGGCATGGAACACGTGGGTTGCATGGAACACCCGCTCCTCACCGGTCATAAACCCACCTGTCTGTGAGCGCCTGGACCCAGAGGTCAGACCCCATTGAATTGAACTGCCACCCCTGCCTGGTTCAAACACTGCAGCACTTCATAACAGGGGCCCCACGACTCGTCTCACCTGGGTGAGCCCGTGGCAGCCATTGGCATGAAACACATGGGTTGCATTGAACACCCACCCCTCACTGCTCACAAACACATTCCCCAGCTCATGCACCCTCCCCGCCCACTCCGCCCACTGCACTCCCCCGCTTCCCCCCTTCCCCCCGCTGCTTCCCCCGCTTCCCCCGGCCACCCCCCCCAGATCCACGTACTGGGGGTTCTCACACACCCACACGCCCCCTCCCCTGCCCTTCCCCTCACTCCCCCTGTCGCCGCTGGTGCTGCCTTCCCCCAGCCGCCCCTCCTCCGCTCCCCCATCCTCCCCATCCGCCCCGTCCCCTTCCCCCGGATCTTCCCCCCGACCTTCCCCACCATCTCCCCCCAGTCCTAACGGCTCCAAGCCTGGGGGGCCGAGGAAGGGGGCCATGCGAGGGCACACGGGGGGGGACTGACAGCTGGCGACGTGCCATTGGGCGTGCGGTGGGGGCGAGTCTAGTAAGATAGATGTAACGCTCGAGTGAGATGTAACGCCTGCGCCACCGTTGGTGATATCTAATCCCTCTCCTGCTGCCGCGGAACCTGCTGCCTGGAAGTGACTGTAACGGCCTGTGCCTATAACGGATGGAGCCATAACGGGGATGGAAGCAGTGACGTGGCGGGAATCGTGGGGGTTCAGGTCGATGATATCTAGACCGTACGATTCCAGAGCCTGCAGCAGGTGGTGCTGGGATTTTTGCTGCTGGCCTTGGGATTGGTTCGTCAGGCTTTGCTTTTGAAAGCTGTCGCTTTGGCTACCGCTGCTGCTGTTACCGCCGCTGCTACTACTGCTGCTTGCACTGCTGCTGATAATCACCCCGAGAACCCCATCGCTTGGTTTCCCAGCAGCTGCAGCCACCGCTGCTGGCGCTGTTGTGGACTTCGCCGTAATTGCCGCTGCCGCTGCTGCTACCGCTGATGCTGCAGCCATCGCTCCTGCTGCTGCTGTAGTTTTGGCCGTAGTTGCCGCTGCTGCTGCTACCGCTGATGCTGCTGTGATCTTGGCCGCTGCTGCTATTGCTGCGGCTGCGGAGGGGGCAGGCGATGACGACAGCGACGCTTCCGAACCCTTCAGATCTTTCCTCGTCAAAATTCGCCTTATTTTGCCTTTTCCTTCCTTCGCTTCTACAGGACCGAATTGTCCCAATAAGAGCAACCCCGATACAAGCAGAAGTGCTACAAGAACGGCTGGTCGAAAAGAGCACATCGTAAAAACATTTCTGCTCCGGAGATCTCTCCGACTGAACGAGGGAGTTCTGGCAAAAGGACTGCCGACTCGTCTCGATTTCAAGCCGCCGTCGGCTCCGCGTCGTCTTCTCACCATTTTCGGGTGTATACTCCCCGCCTTTAGGTCAAAAGGCTGAAATGCCACAGCCTAATGCATTCTCCCGTTATGATACGGCATCAGAAAGTTTGTGAGGGAGCCCCGAACAGGCCTCAGGCAAATCGAGTTTTCAGGAGCACCGGGGGGTGCTCTGGAAATGATTGTGTACGGTGGGTGTTCACCTGTGCGGCTGGGTTGGGCTGTTTAGGTGGGGGGGTGGCCGAAACTTGTGTGTAACGGCACGGAGTTGGGTGGATCGTCCGGTTCAGGGACGTGGCTGTATACGAACGTTTTGCGTACGTGGACGGGTTTTTTCAGCTTGAAGCTCTGTTTCGCTGGACTTCGGTTGCCACGTCACCTGCTCGTTTAGGTTTCCGTCGAGTATATCTAGGCGTGTTGTGTTACATTCTTCTAATGCAGTGTTTTTTTACTGTACACATTGTAGTTGGTAATACATGTGGGATCACATGTGATACACTATTTTTAGGGGATTATGGATTCATGTTTTGGTGTATGTTAGAATACGGTTGTTTTGAATTCTACGATTAAATACTATGCAGTTGAGTTTACATTGACAAGGTGACCGGTACATTTATTGTTGTTCATGAGTTTCCAGGGGTAAATAATTTTGTAGATGTTTTGTGTTAATGATTTAGCATGTGGAGTGACCTTTTCTTAGGGCTGTTGTATATATTTTAGAAGCTTATTCCACCCTGAGGGGGATTTACTAGTCATTACATTATGTATGGTTCTCTGTAAAAGCATATGTGTTTAGACTGTTTTGTGTAAAAGGTTCTGTTTACGATTTAGACTTAGTTTATGTGGCTTGTAGTATTTAATTAAACGAAATCGATCTCACCGTTGTTCCCGCCGAGTCAAACCACAACCCATCGGTCAACGCGCCGAGAAGGCATCGCGCGGCTCGAATGGGTTTCGCGTCGTGTGCATTTTGCCTCGTGTCGCTTTCGAATGTGTGCTGAAATTCACATCGACATTCGCCTCATCCAATTTGTTTGGCCGCGCTCCGCAAGATGATGGAACCGTTCCAAAGTACTTAGCACCCCTCACAAACGAAGTGCACCATGAGTTCGAAGCTGTATGCGCTTCGACGCTAGGACTTGTAATTAGATTACGTGTGGTTGGAATAGGTTTTGGAAAGATTATGAGCGGTCACGGCTAATCTCACAACGGTTTGTCTGGGTTTATTTTAGAATATATGTATATGTGGACCTGTTATTTGTGCCTACTCCCGTTGACATGTTCGAGGTCAACTGGTAGTACAACATCCACCTGCACTAGTATGTTCATGCTGCTGTTTTTCCTCTCGAGTTGAAGATTAGCTCTTCTCGCCCCGTGAACCTCTTACACCCTCACCGGCCCAGCTGTGGTCCCTGGCGGAGCTTGAGGAGCTCACTTCGGAGCTCATTGCGCAACCTTTCGGCTCTTCCAATTGATCTCCTCCCAGGTTAGTCCTTCCTCACGCAGTCACATATTTTTCCAGCCGTTTCAGTTGTGGTTAAACCAACGTGAATTATGAACCCAATTTATTGGCGTTTAGGCGACGCGAGCCGGTCTGCACCTTGAAACAAAACGCTAGCTGTGGCAAGCCGTGAATGCGGAGAGCCTGGGACATGAGAATCTATGCGCAAACACCTGAACACACTTACTGGATGAGCTACGCGCCGTGCAAGTGATGCTCGTCAAATCTCCTCACCCTGTTCGCGCCGGGCGGATGCACGGTGTGCGTGATGCGCTGCGCGCCGTGCAAGTTATGCTCGGCGCATCACCCTCACCTTGATCGCGCCGAGCGGATGCACGGTGTGCGCGATGCGCTGCTCGCCGTTAAAACTCGGCGCATCACCCTCACCTGAACCTCTTAGTTGGATGCGCGTCGACAGTAGGACATGTTGCGAGACCGAGCGAGTGCGGTTGGAAATGGTTGGTTAAGTATTCAGAGACCCCGGGGCATGAGAGGCTCTGCGCAAACCTCTGAACACACTGAGCGGATGCACGGCGCGCGTGATGCGCTGCGAGCCGTGCAAGTGATGCTCGGCGCATCACCTCATCGGTATAACGCCGAGCGGATGCACGGCGCGCGTGATGCGCTGCGAGCCGTGCAAGTGATGCTCGGCGCATCACCTCATCTTGATAACGCCGAGCGGATGCAAGGCGCGCGTGATGCGCTGCGAGCCGTGCAAGTGATGCTCGGCGCATCACCTCATCGGTATAACGCCGAGCGGACGCACGGCGCGCGTGATGCGCTGCGAGCCGTGCAAGTGATGCTCGGCGCATCACCTCATCGGTATAACGCCGAGCGGATGCACGGCGCGCGTGATGCGCTGCGAGCCGTGCAAGTGATGCTCGGCGCATCACCTCATCGGTATAACGCCGAGCGGATGCAAGGCGCGCGTGATGCGCTGCGAGCCGTGCAAGTGATGCTCGGCGCATCACCTCATCGGTATAACGCCGAGCGGATGCACGGCGCGCGTGATGCGCTGCGAGCCGTGCAAGTGATGCTCGGCGCATCACCTCATCGGTATAACGCCGAGCGGATGCACGGCGTGCGTGATGCGCTGCGAGCCGTGCAAGTGATGCTCGGCGCATCACCTCATCTTGATAACGCCGAGCGGATGCAAGGCGCGCGTGATGCGCTGCGAGCCGTGCAAGTGATGCTCGGCGCATCACCTCATCGGTATAACGCCGAGCGGATGCACGGCGCGCGTGATGCGCTGCGAGCCGTGCAAGTGATGCTCGGCGCATCACCTCATCTTGATAACGCCGAGCGGATGCAAGGCGCGCGTGATGCGCTGCGAGCCGTGCAAGTGATGCTCGGCGCATCACCTCATCGGTATAACGCCGAGCGGATGCACGGCGCGTGTGATGCGCTGCGAGCCGTGCAAGTGATGCTCGGCGCATCACCTCATCGGTATAACGCCGAGCGGATGCAAGGCGCGCGTGATGCGCTGCGAGCCGTGCAAGTGATGCTCGGCGCATCACCTCATCGGTATAACGCCGAGCGGATGCACGGCGCGCGTGATGCGCTGCGAGCCGTGCAAGTGATGCTCGGCGCATCACCCCATCTTGATAAAACGCCGAGCGGATGCACGGCGCGCGTGATGCGCTGCGAGCCGTGCAAGTGATGCTCGGCGCATCACCTCATCTTGATAACGCCGAGCGGATGCAAGGCGCGCGTGATGCGCTGCGAGCCGTGCAAGTGATGCTCGGCGCATCACCTCATCGGTATAACGCCGAGCGGATGCACGGCGCGCGTGATGCGCTGCGAGCCGTGCAAGTGATGCTCGGCGCATCACCTCATCGGTATAACGCCGAGCGGATGCACGGCGCGCGTGATGCGCTGCGAGCCGTGCAAGTGATGCTCGGCGCATCACCTCATCAGTATAACGCCGAGCGGATGCACGGCGCGCGTGATGCGCTGCGAGCCGTGCAAGTGATGCTCGGCGCATCACCTCATCGGTATAACGCCGAGCGGATGCACGGCGCGCGTGATGCGCTGCGAGCCGTGCAAGTGATGCTCGGCGCATCACCTCATCGGTATAACGCCGAGCGGATGCACGGCGCGCGTGATGCGCTGCGAGCCGTGCAAGTGATGCTCGGCGCATCACCTCATCGGTATAACACCGAGCGGATGCACGGCGCGCGTGATGCGCTGCGAGCCGTGCAAGTGATGCTCGGCGCATCACCTCATCGGTATAACGCAGTCCGGTGTCCTCGTTGCCGTTGTCCTCGTTGCCGTTGTCCTCGTTACCGTTGCAATCGTATTCGATGCAGGTGCCCTCCTTAACGTTATCCTCGTTACTGCAGCCGACACTATCGTTCTCGTCGCTGACATCATATCTCATGGTGTCCCCGGCGCTCTCGTCTGGAAAGTCCGGTCCCACGCAGGTCGAGAGGAACGCGGGATAGGTGGGATGGAACGGGTGGGTTGACGCGACGAAGCGTGACGCCATGATTTTCCTACTATTTGCAAAAGTCTGTACCTCCTGGTAACCGCACTTCTACTACTACTAGTAGCTATGGCGGCGGTGCTGGAGTTCCTGGGAAGGGCTCATGCAGACAGCAATCGTAAAGCCAGAACTTGGAATTCTCATAAGAAAAACCACCATTGTGCTGTTCCGGCTGATCGAATCTCAAGGGAAAACATACTCGTGTGTGAAAACATATGACGAGTCGCTTTTTTCCTTTCAGTCGTGTCAAATTGAGCAGAAAACACTCGCGCAGTGAGGGAAAATAGTAGACGATTTCTGACGCGCCTCACAAATTGGACAGAGTTGAGCAGAATGCACTCGTGCGCCAACGGAATCCAAAAAATCCTCGAGCCACCACTGGCGCGGCTTAGCTGCCAGCGGCATATTCAGCAAGACTCGTGAGCAGCGAATGCGCTGCTAGTAGTATTGTCAATCTAAGGAGCTCTGTCAAGAAGCTAGATGGACACGGCAGGCAGATACGGGTGGAGAAAAAAAAAATCAGCTTGAGTTTCATCTGCCAACATCGCACTCTCTCCCGTCATTCTCTCTCCCTGCTGTTACTCTCTTTCTCGTCATTCGCATTCCCTGCCGTTCCTTCCATCTCCCTGCCCCTGTTTCCTTCTCACTCTGCCGTCATTCGCATTCCCTGCCGTTCCTTCCATCTCCCTGCCCCTGTTTCCTTCTCACTCTGCCGTCATTCGCCCTCCCTGCCCTTCCTTCCCTCTCCCTGCCTCTGTTTCCTCCTCTCTCTGCCGTCATTTCATCTCCCTGCCATTCCTTACATCTCTCTGCCCCTGCAACCTTCTCACTCTGCCGTCATTCGCCCTCCCTGCCCTTCCTTCCCTCTCCCTGCCTCGGTTTCCTCCTCTCTCTGCCGTCATTTCATCTCCCTGCCATTCCTTACATCTCTCTGCCCCTGTTCCCCTCTCTCTCTGCCGCCATTCCCTCTCCCTACCTTTCCCTACCACTATTCTTTGTTTGAACAGTACAGGGCAATGGTGTACAGTTGCCCCGATTGTCCTGCCATGGGCTTCACAACAAGAGGGAACGTAACCAACCATCGGTATGGCGGACGTTGCCCCAGGAATGCGCGTCATGCGGCTGCGGCAAACAGTGGCAACCCATTCCTCATGACACGGCACAATGCCTCCTCTATGCCATCCCCCACCCTCTCTATCCCCTCTCCCACCCCCTCCATTCCCTTGTGAAGATAGTGTGTAGAGTTAGGAGCCATAGCTAGGTAAGTCCTAGCTAGGCAAGAAACAGTTTAGGCAAAAGAAGAGGGTTTTCACTAGCAGCAATGAGGATACATATAGCAAACCCTAGATGGGTTGTACTCGCTATAGAGCACCCCACTACAGGCTAGAGAATAACATTCTGACATCCCTCTCCCACTCTCTCCATGCCCTCTCCTCCGCGTGCCGCGGTAGATCCGGAGCCTCTACGAGGCAATGAGGGATCGACGCATGACAACATGGTGCCCGACTCATTCCATCCAGCCCCCACTCCCTCAAACAGTGTTGAATCAACACCAGATGTGTTGCCCGATGATGCCACCTCTGTCCATACAAATGGTGAGGCCGAGTGCGGCACAAACGATGGTGACGAGAGCCCGTCGTTTGTTTTTTTGGATGCATTTGCGCATTGGCTGCTCACTTGTGGCGTTTCCAAGAAGAAGGTTGACGAGTTGCTACAAATTTTTAACCACCACGGTGCATGTCTCGAGCAATTGCGCGAGCTCCAAAACATGAGAGACGTTGAGAAGTATGCCGACGACCACGCTCCCGATGCGCATCGGAATTGGAAAAAGGCAAAGGTGCGTCTCGCGGGAAAGCCCATGCTTGAGTATTTTTTTTGTGATGGCATTCAATGCATCAAAGATATCTTGACTCACCCTAAGGTGGCTCCTAAACTTGTCTTGCATCCCACCCCACGTGAGTCGGATGCCACACATGTGTACTCCACCCCCGAAACGGGGGATTGGTGGAAAGCTCTCCATGAGGAGATTAGAAAAGAGGACCCCAACGGGGTGGTGTGTGCACTCATCTTAGCAAGTGATGAGACGCATTTGGACCATCGGGGCAAAGCCAAGGGCCATCCGGTATATCTTACATTGGCCAACATTGATAAAGATGATCGGTGGAAACCATTTGGTCATGTTTTACTCGCTCTATTACCCGAATATCCATCGGAATATAATTCGGATGACAAGCTTTTCATTTTCCAACATGTCATGCGTACCATATTAGAGTCCGGTGCATCTTACAATGCTTGGCCCGCCCTCTATGCATATGTTGCCGACTACCCCGAGACATGCAAGGTGTCCTGCACCAAACAAGGGTGGAACACAAGCCATCCTTGTTCCATTTGCACCGTCTATAAGGACAACATGAAGGATTTGATCGATCAACCAAAAGCATGTTTGCCTGTCATGCAAAAGAGTATCGTTGCACTCTTGCAACGACGTATGTTACCTACGGGTGAGAACATGGAGCTCTCAACGCACCCAGTGAAGAGTTTCCTCTGGGGGTGGTGTTTTGAGTCTCATGTCCTTCTAAACCCGTATCTCTGCCTTATGCCCGACATTATGCACCAAGCTGATTTGGGCATCCTAGAGTATATCATTGATGCCATTCGAGCTCAGTGCACGGACACGGAAAGGGAGGTGTTGGATAAGCGCTTGAAATTTCATAAGGCTATCAACCGAAACCCGCACTTGAGGCTCCCTTCGCGTTCATACTTTAGCAATGGTGCGTCTTACCAGGCATACGAGCATCGAAGTGTCATGCAGATTCTTCCGTTCATTGTCAAGGGATATGCAAGTGACGAGCAGATTGCAGGCATCATCACGTACATTGAGTGGTACACCTTCTGTGCGCGCGCCTCCGAACATACCGTGGCAAGTTTTCGCGAGTTGAAGCTTTTGGCGAGCAGGTATGTTTCTCTTTGCAACGTTAGTCAACATATCCAAATATGCATGCGTTTAATCGGCCAATAACCGCGTGTGTGTTGCATTCTACAGGATGCTTCGAGGCCTTGAGGCGTTTACGCAAAAATCGAAGTGGAACATTATCAAGGTGCATCTGGTCAGCCACTACATCGACGCTATCCGTCGGGCGGGACTTCCGGAGCATTGGTGCGCTCAATTATTTGAGCATCTTCACATAGAGTATGTGAAGAACCCCTACCGAGCGTCGAACAAACGCAACGCCACTGCTCAAGTCATGAACGCTGAGGTCAACAGGCTGCGGTTGCAAGCGCTCGCACCGCAGCTTGGCAAGCGGAAGCGGTACGACACGGCAATGGTTCGTGTAAGTCCCTTGCTTGAATACTTAAATCATTACTTTTTTTTATTTTCAAACTCTTTTGTTTCCCTAACTGTACTTCGTTTCTTTTTATTACCTTTTGCAGGCCATCTCAACTGGAACGAGGATAGTCTCGCGATCCAGCTGGAAGCTGGTGGTCCTGCCGAGGCGTCCCACTCCGCCCTTTGTGGAACCTGTGGCGCCAGACTCAGTGCGCGACGCCGCTTTCAACACGCAGCTGGGTGGCGACCTGCAGCAGCTGCGATGCGCCCTCGATGCTGCACCTGGATGCAACGGGAGCAATGTCCACGTCATCCAGGTGAGTGAAGGGATCCAGGCTGTCTCCTGGTTTCGAGCAAGTTAGATGTTTTTTCGTTTGTTTCCGTTTCGGTTCAAAGCCACTTGTTTCGAAGCCAGTATCTGCACAGTGGTGAACCATCGCGGAAAATTAGACGCGACCCTTACGCGTCTACAGTACTGAACAGAGACCCCCTAGGTAACAAAAATGAGATTTATAAAAATATGAAGCATACATTATTTTTATTTTTATTTACCCTCTTCTACACTTGCAGGTCCACAACGAGCTCGCCATGCCCTCGGCGCTGGATGCTGAGTTCGGACGGCTACCTTATCGGGTGCGGGCTGTCGCCAATTTCTATGGACGGCCATGGTACTCCGATATTGCTGTGAAAGGTCCGTTGGTCAATGGTGTTCACGAGGAGTGGTATGCCAAAGCTCTGATTATCTTCCAATTGCGAGACGGCTCAGAGCTGAAGCCATACACATATATAAAATATTATCGCAAGCTACCAGACAAAGACGCAGCCACTGGATGCGCGCAGCTGCGTTGGGACTTACAACATCAACGATACCAAGTGATTAGCATAGACAGTATACTGCGTGCTGTGGACCTGGTACAGCCGGATGCGAACGACCAATTATGGCTTGTTAATAGATTTATGTTTTAAATTTATTCTGACTATTTTATTGTTAACTGTCACAGAAAGTTCTACGATTGTGTTTTTCTCGATTGAATATTTACAACTGTCTGCCCATGAGACTTATTGCGAGAGCTCGTCGAAACAGTGCTGTGCGCGTAAATTGTGTAGTGTCAAGTGTTACACTTCAATTGAAAGAAAGTCTCGACTGCCCGGTTAATGCCCAAGATTAATATGGCAGCTCCAACTCGGCTCTCGCACACATCTCGCGACCGTCGCATGAAACCGTTCTGACCGTACATGCAGCACAGCTGGCAGTCGCTCATCGCCATACGGCCATTCTCCCGCCATAAACGACCAGAAACCAAGCCTGTGCGACACAGTTCATCATCGCACGCTGAGACACATGACTGGATTCAAGCTCCTCAAGCGGGTTTTCGCTGCCATGACGGACGACGATGACCAGGGGGTCACACTGCATCGTGATGGGCCTGCTGATGATAGTGATAGCGAAGACGGGGTGAACCTGGACGACATGCTCGGGTACATGCAGCATCTGAAACAGCAAGGGGTGAAGCTCGGCAAGAAGAAAAAGAAGAAGCAGGCTCGAATGAAAGATCTCTTGGCGCAGGGCGACGACACTGCTGGGCCTTCGAACTCACCTACTAATGAAGTCGCTCCTGCTTCTGCGGCGGAACCTACGCCTGCTATTATGACCGCCGTAGCACCTACCGCCGTAATCGATCGTGCCACCCCAACCGTTCCCTCGCCTCTCACTGCGAGTGCCGGTACTGCTGCCGTAGCAACGACTGCCGTTTCCACTGCTGGACCCGCGAGTACGGAACCTACCCCTGCCGTTACCAACCCGGTGGCCGTCTCGGCTCCAACGGTTGTCCTCGCAGTGGACGAGGCTACCGCGAATGCTGACACTTCCGCCGTTACCGCCTCAGCTGCTGATGACGCAACACGCGGATCGACTGCCGGCCGAGTGATTGCCTCATCGTTGGGGTTTGCCATCCCAGTGAACCACCGCACCAGTACGATTTACTCTGTTTCCGTGTTGTATTGATCGCGCCCCTTACGGCGTGGAGTATGTTTGCTTCTGCCGTTATGTTATTACTAACCGAGATTTTTCCCTGGTTGTATTTGTTCCGTGTGGCAGTCGTGCCGGCCGAGCAAGCAGTAGCACAAGAGACCTTCCGTCTGCAGGGACAGCTCGACGACCTGCGAACAACGCTGAGGCGCACGCAGGAGCGCGAGAGAGAGTTGTCGAACCTTCTCTCGGAGCGGGACGCCGAGCTGGCAGCGCTCAACCAGCGGTGCGCTGAGGCCATCCGGTTGAACGAGCAGCTCCTGCAGGACCTGTCCGCCGCCCAGGGTACGGCACTCATCTGTGCCCCGCGTCCGGCATCGCCCTCGTTCAATATGGAGCGGATCCCTCGCGACGCCAACGGAGCACTCATTATCCCTGCCCTCGTCAGTCATGACAATCATTTCGGGGTAAGTCTCACATTTCGGTGTTCTTTTGTATGCGGTTTCCGCGAGTTGTATTCCTCTGTGTTTATTGGGTATCTCCATCTTCTTGCATTCTCTCATTTCCTCTATTATCTGTCTCGTTAATATGCAGAAAAAGGCAACCGAGGCGATCACGTATCTTATGCTGGATGCGCCAGCTCGTTCCATGCAGTTCTACCCCGAGTGGGCAGAGTTCCGCGAGGTCATCTGCATGAAGTACGAGGTCGCGGGAGTTTCATCAGACATTTTCTACTACGTCATCAGCAACGGCGATGTGGAAGGTGTCGGAGAGGCGTTCTAATGTCAACGCGGACGCCAAGGTCTATGGCAGAGGTCCTGGTGGGTGCATTCCGGAGAGCAAGTGGCACATTCTCGCGGAGGAGAATGTGGCGCCGTCCATCTCGCGTACCCCTGCGGAGTGGTGCCGTTTCTATGAACATCGTGAGTTACATATTGCCCGTTTCACTGAGTTTGTGTGTCTTACGCAATCTGTAAGTTTATAGCTGTTTCTTTACTCTCTTTCCTTCTGTTTTTGCAGTTGTATATGGGCCTGGTGCTAACTGGCATTTCTGTGCGACAAGCAACCGCCCGTTTGCCAACCTCGCTTTCCAGCTGACTCTCCTTCGTGGGCTTGCCAGCAAGCGTGCAACCATGCTGCACGTGAAGATCCCTACTGTGGGCTACATCCTAAACGTGGTGAGTGTGTGTTAATTGTGCTTGTATTGGTTTGTCTTTTAAAAACAATTTAAGTAAACGTTGCTTGCCTGTTGCAACTGCAGGTGGAGTGGCCCCTGGTGAATGCAAGGGGGCGCCAGAACCCGTCTCTTGACACTGCAGAGGCAGTGAACCGCCAGAATGTGGCGCACAAGATCGACCAGGTGGTTGCCTGGATTGCGGCAACGTACAACGCCGGGGATGTGGCTATTTGGGACTCCAGGCCCCCTGCTAGCTTCAACATGGGCCCCAGGATCAAGATCCTGGTGGAGGGCTATGAAAGGGAGATTTTCCCTAATGGAACCCCACCTTACAAGTCCTAGTTTAGCTAGTGGTTAGGTGTAGCTGGTGCTACAGTAGCTTAGTTTAATTGATAGGTGTAGGAGCTACTAACTGGAGTAGTAATGGTAGTCTGTTGCTGTTGCTGTTAGTATGAAGTATTGGATCTAATTCTGAGTACGCATTAACGGGTTTCTGAGTAATGTTATCAAAATGGTGGTTGAATTGGTTTTCCGTTGATAATAGAATTTAAAAATATATTTTTACACTACATTGAACTACAGTAATTATCAAGTTTATTGACAGATCGACATTGCGACACTGAATTAAAGCAACTAGGGCTGTAACCCGGTTGGATACAGGCCATTGTAACTTCAACTCAATCACTCGATAATCCATCGCGAGTTACAGTAACAGAGCAACATATCGAAATGTAACCGCGCGCACTATGCCAAATCAGCCGCGTAAATATTCGGGCCAGGTCATCAACGAGCTGGATGACATATGGCCATCCGCAGGATACTCTGTATATGATCACACACAACCGCACATTGTACCCCCCGTGTGTGGCAAAGCACCTCGATCCTTCGATGACTGGGCATCACCAGCCCTTACTGTTCCGACTGAATCCACACATACGAAACCCATCGACGGAGCGGTCGATCGTGGGTGGCAATCGGCCTAACCCATCACACGTATATGGTCTGTTCGAAAATTCGCCAGAACCCAACCCCAACAACCCGAACTCTTCTAAAACACCCCAAACCAGGCGACACAACTTTCTGATGGGTGAGATGTCTCAAAACAACTTCGCAATCTCACCAATTTCTGGTGTTTTCTCCCCGCCTAGTGCAATCTTCCGGTATTTGTCCATTCATCCACTCGCAGTTCTACAAACGTGCTTGAGTCGCCGCATTAGCCTGCTGTATCGGTGTTAATCCAAAGGCGTGGTGAGGTGTCGTTTCTGGAAACGCCATGGATCGGGGTCCCTCTTGTCAGATTTATATGACAGAGCTACTGTAGGCTATAGTGGGGTAGCACATATGGGGTACAGTTTTCTAGGGTTTGTATTTGTACCCAACTTTCCCTTAGTCATTCCCATTCCTGTTTTCTTAATTCACATGGTATAGAGCGGGTTCCTACATGGGACCGTTCCTTCCTAAGGGCCCACCATAACGAAATTTTTTTTTTAGCTTCCCGACGCGCATTGCGCCCCTGCCCTAAATTTTTTTTAGCGCCCCCCCCCCTAGCGGCCCCTACGCGACCCCTACGCGGCCCCTACGCGGCCCCTACGCGGCCCCTACCCGGCCCCTACGTCGCCCCTGACGCGACCCCTACGCGGCCTCTGACGCGGCCCCAACGCGGCCCCTGACGTGGCCCCTACGCGACCCCTGACGCGGCCCCAACGCGGCCCCTGACGCGGCCCCAACGCGGCCCCTGACGCGGCCCCTGACGCGGCCCCTACGCGGCCCCTACGCTGCCCCTGAGGCGGCCCCTGACGCGGCCCCTGACGCGGCCCCTCCGCCGCCACTACCGCGGCCCCTACGCCGCCCCTGACGCCGCCCCTGACGCGGCCCCTGCCGCGGCCCCTGACGAGGCCCCTGACGCAGCCCCTGACGCGGCCCCTGCCGCGGCCCCTGACGAGGCCCCTGACGCGGCCCCTGACGCGGCCCCTGCCGCGGCCCCTGCCGCGGCCCCTGACGCGGCCCCTGACACGGCCCCTGCCGCGGCCCCTGCCGCGGCCCCTGACGCGGCCCCTGACGCGGCCCCTGCCGCGGCCCCTCACGCGGCCCCTGACGCGGCCCCTTCGCCGCCCCTGCCGCGGCCCCTACGCCGCCCCTGACGCGGCCCTCTCCTGCACCTGACGCGGCCCCTAGCGGCCGGCCGCTGCCGTCCCTGAGGCAGCAGCCGCCGCCGTCTCTGCAGCAGCAGTCGCAGCCGAACGCCGAGCCGCCGAGCCGCCGAGCCGCCCAGCAGCCGAGCCGCCCAGCCGCCGAACCGCCCAGAAGCCGAGCCGCCCAGCAGCCGAGCCGCCCAGCAGCCGAGCCACCGAGCCGCCCAGCAGCCGAGCCGCCGAGCCGCCCAGCAACCGAGCCGCCGAGCCGCCGAGCCGCCCAGCAGCCGAGCCGCCGAGCCGCCCTGCAGCCGAGCCACCCGAGCCGCCCTGTCCGGTAAGAGCAGCGCCCCTTTCACAGCACTGCCCTCACCCTACTGTTTGCGCTGCTAGTCTACTACTGTCATGGCTACCCCTAGTGTCCTCGCTTTTGACGCTGAGGGTCGGGCCATTGACTTTGATGTCTGGATAGATGACCTGCAGCTTTTCTTACAGTGCGACAGGGCAGACGGCCTCTCCCTCTTTGACCTCACTTCTGGTGCCTCTCCTGCCCCCGCTGCTGATGCTGACGCCACTGTTCGCTCACAGTGGGCCACGCGCGATGCTGCTGCACGTCTTGCTGTGCGTCGCCACCTGCCTACCTCTGAGCGTGCGCACTTTAGCCAGTACAAGAGTGCTCACACCTTGTACGACGCTGTAGTTGCGCGCTACTCCTCCCCTGCCACTGCTGCACTGAGCCGCCTCATGCTACCGTACCTCTTCCCTGACCTTGCTGCCTTTCCCACAGTCGCTGCCCTCATTACGCACCTCCGCACTAGTGACACTCGCTACCGCGCTGCGCTTCCTGCTGAGTTCTGCGCCAAGAACCCCCCCCCCATGTACATCACCCTCTACTACATAGTCACCCGGCTCCCTGACTCCCTTCGCGTAGTCAGGGACCACTTCCTCTCAGTTTGCCCCACCACTCTCACCGTTGACCTCCTCGAGAAGTCCCTCCTAGCAGCAGAGAAGAGCATAGTCGCTGTAGGAGCCTCTCGTGGTGACCCTCGCACCCCCATCTTTGAGGGGTGTTCCCCCTCCCCCCTTTTGCCCTCTGTTGCCTCTGCTGCTGCGGCCGACCTCGTTGGGCTTGAGTCGGTCGGTGCGGCGTCTACCCCTAGCGGGAGACGTCGCCCTGGCAAGGGCAAGGGGGGCAGGGGCACTGGAGGAGCTAGCGGGGGCGGTGGAGGCGGAGGTGGAGGCAGTGGAGGGGGTGGGGGTGGCGGTGGGGGTGGTGGCGGGGGTGGAGGTGTCGGTGGCGGCAGTGGAGGCGGAGGCAGAGGCGGCGGTGGCGGTGGGAGCGGAGGTGGCGGCGGTGGAGGAGGAGGCGGCGGAGGAGGTGGAGCTGGTCGGGGTGGCGCTGCGCAGAGGGTCGGCTCCGGTGGTGGTCAGCGCCAGCAGCAGCAGCAGCAGCAGCAGCAGCAGCAGCAGCAGCAGCGCACTCGTGACATCCCCTCCCCTCAGCAGCTCCGTGAGTGGTACACTGCACGCCAGAGGGGTTGGGGTACTAGTCCGTGCACCTACGTCCTCCGCACCGGCGACCGCGCGGGTGACCAGTGCGGGGGTGCGCACTCCACCCAGCGCTGCTTTGGCCGCCTGACGGACGCTTGGCGTCACCAGTTCCCTGAGGCCACTGAGATCCCCCGCTGGGGTGAGCTGTCTAGGGCGGGTGTAGCTGTCTTTGACCTTGACTTTGATGCTATTCTTGCTGCCATGTATACTGTGACTATTAGTGATGAGGGTGACTGTTACCGGTGTTTTCCGCCCGACCCGGGCATTGAGACTGCTGCTCTAGGTACTGGTGAGGCTGCTGCTCTAGGTGCTAGCGAGGCTGCTGCTCTAGGTGCGTCTGCTCCCTCAGGTGCTGGTGAGTCTGCTCTCTCAGGTACTGCGTCGGCTTCGGCCTCCCACACCTTCACCCTTGACTCGGGGGCTTCTCGCTCCTTCTTTCGAGACCGCACCACACTCACGCCGCTTGGCCGGCCAGTTGCAGTCTCTCTGGCAGACCCCTCTGGGGGTCCTGTCCTTGCTCACTTCTCCACTGTCCTCCCGTGTCCGGCGGCCCCCTCTGGCACCCTGTCTGGTCTTTACCTCCCCTCGTTCTCTACGAACTTGGTGAGTGGTGCTGACCTACAGGATGCGGGGGTTCACCAGTTCACTCCTGCGAGTCAGCGGGTGACCCACTGCACGGACGCTCGGACAGGCCGACACCTGGCCACGTTTACACGTCGGCCGGGGTCGAGCCTGTACACACTGACCACTGCGTCTCCTCCGGTCACTGCGTCTGGTCAGGTAGCTGCGTCAGGTCAGGTGTTTGCTGCAGCGTCCAGGTCTGGTCCTGAGTCTGCCCCCTGTTCGTGTCGCCTCCTGTCTCACGACACTCTCCTCTGGCACCACCGCCTTGGTCACCCCTCCCTGCTTCGTCTCCGAGGCAT